CGGCCATGCCTGAAGCCTCCTCGGGACTTTTCAGTAGCACGAGTCAGCCTCCGCGTTTTGTTTGCCTTTAAGCCAGTTTGAATGAGCATTTTTGTTCTTTGCATGTATTGACCTTTGCGTCAACCTGAAGGCTGGACATAGCTAGCCTTCGATAAACGGCCTTTGAACAAACAGGCCCTCCACGGGGGCACAGGGGCCGTGATTTCTAGGGGTGTGTGGTGCTCGCCAACACAGCCTCGCATGTGTCCTCCCTGGTCCCCTCAGGAGCAGTGTGGCTTTGAGTGGAATTAACCCAGAGGCACTGCTACATGGACACGCCTCCCCGACAGGCCCCGGCCCCGAAACAAACAAAGCGAGCCTCTCAGCAGGCTGATGGCTCGTCCACTGACTGCTCACTCAAGGTCAGACCCAGGGCTGGGCTTTCCTGTAGGTCATTGCATTTGTTCTCAAAACCACCATCTCAGCTAGAGACTTTATCTTCATTCTTACACAGGAGGAAACTGGGGCTCAGAGAGGTTGAGTGGCTTGTCCGCTGTCACACAGCCAGTTCACTGCTTGGACTATATCGTGCCTTAGGGAGAGAACATCTACTTGTTGGATCCAGGTCACCCACTCGTAACTGGTCACTCACTTTTGTCCCAGATGTCACTGGGTCTGGCCCCATTTGTCCTTCATCTGTGTTTGTCTCTGTCTCCTCCGGGAGCTGAGCCCTGGTGTTCCATGAATACTGAGCCCTTGTCCCCATGAATACTGACCTCGCCCTCACCCCCTTTGCCCCTCAAACCTTCCTGCTGTGCTCGTGGGACGCACGGTCCATCCTCCGAATACCCTCCCCGACCCTTCCGGATCACGCTCACCTCCTTGCCCTGGATGACACCTGGCCGACTCCTGCCGACACCGCCCCGACAGCCTTTCAAGCCACTGCACTGTTCAAATCGCCCCCTCCTGTCCCTCGGTGCCTCGCCGAAAAGCGAGGGTCCTTGTTCTCTAGATCATCACCCCTACGCTCCCTCCTGGTGCCCACCATGCCTCCTGGGCCTGTAAGTGTAGTGGGGACACGACCTGGTCCCTGGCTCTCCCACGGCTTCGTTCGGGAGCAGGAGCTCGATCCTTTCGTGGGATTGTGCCCCACGCTGCTTTGGGGCAGCGAGGCTCAGACATGGGCCCTTTTCATGGAGAAGGCAATGATCAGAAGCTTAGGCGCATGCCGGGGTCGCCAGCCTAAAACCCTGGGAACTGTGGCCAGGCTCTGGCATGTCCACAGCTCCCACCTTTGTCCAGGCTCCTCGCCTCCCCTCGGGACCGCTGCGAAGGTGCCCAGCTAAGCGCCTTCAGTCCGGCAGCCGGAGCGACTCTGTGGAAGTGTTGAGTCGGATTTCGGCTCAGAGCTCCTATGACACCCGCCATAGCCAGCGCAGGGGCCAAAGGCCATTCGATGGCCTTCACGGCCACTCAGGGTCCTGCTGTCCTACTTCCTCTCGGACCTCACCTTCCACCGCCTCCTCCTCCCAGCTCCACTCCATAGTGTCACTTGGCTGCTCTGCAAACCCCAGGCCATCTCCTGCCTCAGGGACTCTGCACACGCTGTCCCCTCTGCCAGGAATGCTGTCCCTGCAGATGTCCGCACGGCTCCCCCTCAGTGGTGGCACCGGGGAGGTGCTCACGAAATGCTTACTGAATCAATGAATAGCTGGAGAGCCGCATATCAGACAACAGAAAGACACCTCTCTTCCCTTATCCGATCAGCACGTGCTTTAAAGTTCAATGGGGTCATGCAAATGGGACATCAGAAATTCTCTTTAAAAGTAACACAGGTGCAGAAATGTGTGTGTGTGTGTGTGTGTGTGTGTGTGTGTCCACATAGTGAAATGAGACAATAAGAAATTCAGGTCTAGTGTGTGTGTGTGTGTGTGTGTGTGTGTCCACACACTCAGTGAAATGAGACAGTAAGAAATTCAGGTCTTTCCTTTCTGACTTGGAGACACAGATAGGGCTAGGGGACAAGAGCAAGCTACAGAGTGATGTTCATGAGGTGACTATTTTATAAAAGTAGACAAAGGCAAACTCCGATCCCTGACCGTGAGTTTTTGTGCACAGGAGGGGCGCGCCGTGTGTGCCGCCATGTTTTACCTGGGCGGGGCTCGGCAGACGGGGCCAGGGTTAACTTTGTGTGCGTACGGTCACCCCTCCGCACCCCTCATCCGCAGGGCTACGTTCCCAGGCCCCCAGAGGATGCCGTAACCGGGGATAACACTGAACTTTATATGTGTTATGGTTCTTTCTGTACATACACACTTGCGATAAAGTTCAATTAGGCACAGTAAGAGATTGATAACAGCTAACAACAAAATGGAACCATTATAACAATACACTGTAATGACAGTTATGTGGATGGCGTTGGGGACATTATGAAGCAAGATGAAGGCGGCTTGAACGTGACACTTCGATACTGCGACAGCAGACCTGACAACTCGGGCGCTTCCAAGTAAGGAGAAGGCGACAGCCCAGGGTGACTCACTTCCTGGGTGGGAAGGAGCAGGACAAGGAGGGGCCGTGATCTAAACCTCAGCAATTGTTTATTTCTGGAGTTTTCCATTTAACATCTAGACCGCAGTTGACCTCGGGTCACTGAAACCACGGATAAGGGGGATGACCGTGTTGTTGGATTCCAGTGATACACACTTAACGATAAATCAGACACATCGAGGCCTGGGCGGGAAGATGGGAGGAAACCACCCCACACTCTGCGGGGCACTGGAAGCTGGGGAGCCACGGTGGGAACACGGGGGCAGGACTGTCCGGTGGCCCGAGCGGCGCTCCCTCCTCCAGGCGCCCCCCTCCGCTCCGCACACGGCCACGCTGACCGCCGAGGTCGTCATGGCGCAGAGACAAGAGCCAGACGCCACCTGAGTGCCCGGTCCGGACCTGACGGACCACGCGTCGCTGGAGGGCAAGGTGGGGCGGCGGCTGCAGGAAGTGGCCTGACCCACGTGAGCCCGACAGGATGACGTCGCCACAATGCTGGACGCGGAAGTGGGCGGAGCCCAGGCCGGGGGACAGCCTCGCGTTACCCCGGTACAGCGTGTGGTGACCTGCGTCATGAACGCACGGTGGTCTGGGAGGACGCGTGCTCGATGCCATTGGGGACACCTGCTGGACTCGGGTGTCCCGCGTCACACCAGAGGATTCTAGTCACAGATGGCTGCTGCCAATCAAGCATGGCCTAGTCCCGGGACAGACGTTTGTTAAATGCCCGGCACGTGTAGCAGTAACGGCGCCCACCCCTGGTCACTTCCGTGAGGCTCCTGCCTGTCATCGGCTGCTGTGCAAACCGTGGGGAGGCCAGCGAAGTCCTCCTGTCACTCACGTCTGCGGGGCTTGCCTGGCTTGTGTCTTGTGTGTGTGTAGTGTGCTATGATGGTGAGTTGTGCAAGGTGTGTTGTGTGTTGTTTTGTGTGTGACATGTTGCATGTGTGTTGTAATGTGTGTGGGGGGGTATGTCATGTATGGTATATTGTACGTGTCAGAGTGTGTGGTACCTTGTGTGTGGTGCAGTACGTATGTGTCGTGTGTGATATACTGTGTGTTGTGTGTGCATGGTGTGTGTTGCCATGTGTGTGGTGTCACATGTATAGTATATTGTGTGAATTTTTGTGTGTGGCGTATTGTGTGTGGTGTGCGTGTCATGTGCATGGTGTGGTATATTGTGTGTGATGTGTAGTGTGTATCCTGTGTGTGTGGTGTGTGTTGTCATGTGTCTGGCGTAGCACGTGTGGTATACCGTGTGTGTATTTGTACATAGGGGGTACTGTGTGTGTTGTGTGTGCATGATGTGTGTTGTCATATGTATGGTATATTGTGTGTATTTTTGTGTGGGGGTATTGTGTATGTTGTGTGTGTGGTATGTGTGTCATGCGTGTGGTGTGGTATATTGTGTGTGTTGTGTAGGGTATATGCTGTGTGTGGTGTGTGTGTTGTGATCTGGTGTGGTACGTGTGGCATACTGTGTGTGTATCTTTGGGTGGGGGTGTGCGGTGCGTGTCGTGTGTGTGATGTGTGCGGTGTGCTCTGTGTGGCATACTGTGTGTGTATCTTTGGGTGGGTGTGTGCTGTGCATGTCATGTGTGTCTAGAGGCTCATTCTCCATAACTCACACTGAGCTCACAAAGCCGTGGCCGTTACCGCTGACACACAGGACACAGCCACCTTTCATTCCAAGGCCCCTCTGTCCTCCCTCCCACCGAGCCACACGGGTGCCACGGCCCACAGCAAAGCAGGATGTCGAGGATGCAAGCGTTTAGGTCACAAACTCAGTAAATAAACCCAATGAAAAGGCCAAGGCAGCTGGAAACTTGTCAAACAAACGGGTCCCGGGGAGCCCATAAGGGCCAAGTGTGATCTGGGAGGAGGGGCTGCGAGCATGGACGGGGCTGGTCATCCCGTGGACGGAGGTGACTGTTTCTTGCTTTGTGCCACGGCCTCGTGGCAAAAGCTCGTGTGATCCATGCCTGTACCAGCGCATTGGACCGGTGCTGAATTAGTTCCTTCACTCTGTCTCCTAACGAGAGAAGGCCTTTTGATTAAGCAAGCAGCCTAAACGCTACCTAATGTCCTCTCTTTTATCACCAGGAAATGTGAAGCATCAAAGTCATGTGAATGAAAGGTAGTCACGAGATCCTCGGATGCTGACACTCAGCTGGTGCAGCCGCTCTCAACCTACCAGGCCTGAGAAGGACTTTGACAACGTCGCGAGGGAGGAGCCACGATCCTGGGTAAGCGATGCTCCCGCCAGCTGTCGAGGGGCGGCATGAAGCGAGGCCCCCGGGGCTTCGGAACGAGCAGTGCTCGTGCTTAAGATCGGAGGCGTCACTGGGTAAGCGATGCTCCCGCCAGCTGTCGAGGGGCCTGCATGAAGCGAGGCCCCGTTGGTCACTCCCGGGGCTTCGGAACGAGCAGTGCTTGTGCTTAAGATCGGAGGTGTCGTTACCACCGTCACTTACCTGAGACCAGAGCAAGTGCTGAGGCTGACCGTCGAGCCAGGATACCCTTGCACGTGCCCGTGGTAGAAGCAATGACCCTGGAACGAGGAGAGAGTCAGTTCAGCCACAGCACCGTCTCGCCCACCTCGATACACCCATGGCCTCCGATCGCCTTCGCTTGTTTTCAGCTACAGAATTTTCTTTTGCATAAAATATTGAGCCGGGAGTTGTAATATGTAATGCTAAGCCCCATGTGACCCGGCTGGGATCTACGGCTGGAGAATCTTCTAACAGGGTTTTGAGATGCATCTGGTTCCATTCTTCTCTCTAATGCCCTGCAGGAAAGCCCCGAGGCCGAATGGTCCACACCATCCAGCGGCAGAACAAATCGCATCAGCATCACCGTTTTCCCCTCAGGTAAATCGCCTTTTGTAATGAGACGAAGCGGCAGGGGGTATTTAAACACACTGCGAAATGGAATAAAGCAGGGTCTCAATCTACAGCTTATGAAAACAGACGAGCGGATGCGAGGGAGGGGCGTGAGGAGACAGAAAGGGGACCTCACTGAATTGTCCAACTTAGAGCAGGATGTCTAACTCGGCAGGAAAGAAAAATCGGAAGGTCGTCTAAGTCTAAGGCAGAAGTCCCCGTGTGCCATGCCTGAGACATTCTACATTGTAATGTCACCGATTACAAAAGGAAGCCACAGCATGGACACTTGCTTAGTGAAGACAGATTTCTGTCCAGATTCAAGGTGAATATTATAGTTGAATAAAGGTTGTGTTGCAGCCCCAATTAAGTGGCCGGCCGGCGGGAGACGGTTAAGTACACACAGCAGGCCTCGTTCAGCTCCTCTTGAATGCCAGGGTGAGCGGTCCTGCTGGCAAAGGGCCGCATCATCTAAGGCGGAAGAGAAGTGGACACGGGTTTTGGCCCGTCCCCTCTGTGCCTGCCGTGGCACTGGCTCCTTCACTCAGGACCATAATAATTCACTTTTTCCAGGATAGGACTTGGTGTCCAGTTAATTTGCCCAACAAAAACAAAATTGCAAAGACCACCTTGACTTTCCTAAGAAAGACCATATAATATTCAGTGGCAGAGGAAATCCGATAACTCCTTGGGAAAGGGGCCAAGATTAATTATCTCTTTGTCACTGGGAAGAGGACAAAATTCTGAGATCACCTGAAAGACAACTAAAAGACGGAGATGGGAGTGGTGCAGGACATTTGTTATTTTGACATTTTCTTATTGATTCTAGGAGTTCTTTATATATTCAGGCTATTCATCCTTTGCCGTTATCAACTGAGAAATGTCTTTTTAACTCACAATCGCTTTTGTTGTACAGTTTCCAATTTTTATAGAGGCAGATTTATCTACCTTTTCCCTTAATGCATTTTGTGTTTTGCTTACAGTGGCTTTCTTCAAGGTCATATGTAGGTCGACCTTTATTCCCGTCTCTTTCTAGTCTTACAGTTAGCTCTTTAATCTATCTGGAACTTCTTTTTGTGGAGGTATGAGGTTGAAGTCTAACTTTCCCCACGAACCAAAAGCCAGCGTTCTCCACCATCATTTTCCTCTTCTTACTGATTTGAAATGCTACCTCGTTATATGCTGAAGATCTACAGAGGTCTATGGTTCATTCCCTGAGCTATGCCCCTGAGGCACACCCCTGTTTGTCATCGCCGTGCCAATCCCACACTGTCTGAGTCACTGTGGATCTAGAGTACATGTTGCTATCAGAGTAAGTTCTTTTTTATTTTTTATTTTTTACTCAGACGAAATTCACATACCATAAAATTCACCTTTTATAAGCACACAGTTGGTGGGTTTTCGTACATCCACAGTGCTGTGCAGTCATCCTCACTACCTAATTCCAAAACTCTTCCATCTCTCCCCGAAGAAACCTCAGACCCGTTAGCAGTCACTCCCCATGACCCGCTCTCCAGCCCCTGGCAACCGCTAATCTACTTCCTGTCTCTGGATTCACCTGTTCTCCTCATTTCATTGCATCTGAGCGGAATCATACAGTCTGTGTCTGGCTTCTTTCATCATGGATGAACCTTGAACATAACACGGATGAACCTTGAACACGTTATGTTGCAGCAGATGTCAATACTTCCTTTTCATCCCGAATAAAATTACATTGCACGGACAAACCGAATTTTGTTTTTCTATTCATCAGTTGATGGGCGTTCGGGTTCTTTCCACCTTTTAGCTGTTATAAATGATGCTGCCATGAACATCTGTGTGTAAGTTTTCGTGTGGACACGTTTCCGGTTCTCTGGGGTCTACCCTACGCATAGGCATATGGTCGTATTACCTACAAGTGGAACGACTAGACCATACGGTAACTCTCTGTTTAGGTCGTGAAGCACTGTCAAACTGTTTTCCCGGGCAGCGGGACCATTCTACATTCCCAGGATACGGGAGGAATGCACGAAAGTTCTAAATTCTCCATATCCTCACCAGCACTTACTGTCCATTCTTTGGACTACATCTATCCTAGTGTATGTGAGGTGGTATCTCCTTGTGGTTTTGATTTTTACTTTCCTATTGACACTGAGCATCTTTTCACATGCTTATTGGCCATTTGTACACCTCGTTGGAGAAATGTTTACTCGAATCCTTTGCCTATTTTTAAATTGGGTTATTGTCTCTTTACTGTTGAGCTGGGAGAGATCTTTATATATTCTGGATACAAGCCCCTTCTCTGATATGATGTGCAAATATTTTCTCCCACTTCTGTGGGTTGGCTTTTCACGTTCTTGATCGTGTATTTTGAGGCACTAATGTTGATCATTTTGATGAGGTCCAAGCTATCTATTGCTTTCTTTGGTTATGGTTTGGTGTCTTGCCTAAGAAACCATTACCTGATCTAAGGTGGCAACGATTTACACCTGTTTTCTTTTAAGCGTTTTGCAGTTTTAGTTCTTACATTCAAATCTTTGAGCCACTTTGAACTGACGTTTGCACATGGCTAGAAGTTGGAGTACGGTTCACTCTTCTGCCTGTAGATACCCAGGTGTACCACAGCCGTTTATTAAAAGACTTTACTTCCCTCGCTTGTCCCGGCAAACTTGTTGAGAGCAACTTTTCTTTAGGTACCTTTCATTTTTCAAAAGAAGCTTCTAGGCTATTATTGCCTATTTTCTCTTTCAAGTGAGTTTTAGAATAAATTAACGCTCTGTAATAATTCGTTGAGATTTTTGCTTGGATTACATTAAATTTATAGGTCAATCTAGTAAGAATTTGTAGTTTTACCATAGTTTTCCTGTCCATGTATATAGTATATCTCTCTAATAAAGCTGCTTTGATGTTTTCTGGTCTAGTTTTAGATTTTTTTTTTTTCGTATAGATATTGGAAAGTTTTCATCAGGCTAGATTATTTTATTTCATGAGGTATTAGGTTTTGCCTAGGCATTATATATGTTTGTTGATATCACGAGTAGGATTTTTTTTTATGTTATGGTTATTTTTAATGTAAAGAAAAGCTTTGTTTTTTAAAGTTTATCTTGTATCAGATCCTTTGCCGAAACATCAGCTTAATAGTTTGTAGAGTATCTTAGATTTTTTGTGTTGTTGATTATATCAACTACAAACAACGAACGTTTCGTAGGCTGCTTTCTGACCCTCCGACAGCACTGAGGAATGACATGGCTAGGTGTCCGGGGCAAAGGCAGGAGAGGGACTTGCCCACGTGAGAAGGCAGTGGGCAGGGGGGGAGGGAGTGCCAGCCCCGGTGACAGGGTCAAAAGATTCTGGAAGAGCATGGCACTCACGGTGCCCTGTCTAGCCCCGGCCAGGGTGTCATCCTTCATGAGCATGTGGCTTAGGACAGAAAGAATGCACGAGGGACCATGGCAGGGAACATCTGCCCAGACTGCCACATCGGGCACCAGCTGGGCCATGGGGGACCTTGCTGCCAGCTTGCCTCCTTAGCTTCCATGTGAAATAACTTTTGAAAGCCTCCATGGTCTCCCCTCTCTAGATAACCCTAGAGTGGGTACTTAAGGGAGGTGTGATATCCATTTTCTAGACACGATGGAATCATGTACCTGGATGGAAAGGCTCCCGGTCTGCTCTGCACAGGGCAGGGATTTATCAGTCCTGGGAACCTGGCAGGCATGTCAGAGCTGGACAAGTCCGAAAGTCAGAGGACACCGGTTGATGTTATAGTTCAGGCTTCCTGGGGTGACCAGAATCACTGGGTTTGGACAGTTATACATTTTGGGGGGGTTTCCTATGGTATAGAATTTGCCTCATTTTAGAGAATGTGAAATGTTGCTATAGGCAGTTAAGTATTGGTGAAAAAAAAAAAAAACCACCAAAAAAAAAAAAAAAACGCAAATGGTGACCATAATCTTAATTACTGACCTCTGAAATTTCAAACTTATTTCTTTCCAGTCTCGATTTATTTTTAATAGATTACTTATGAAGAGTATTTTCAAATTAAATATTCAGAAATATAAGCTCGTTAAAGCGCGAGCTTAGTACAAATTAGTATAAAATCGATTCTCAGTTCAACAACCTATTGCTCGTAAAAGAGGAGGATTTTTGCTCTCATGAGCTGGTCCTAAGCACTCCCACCTCTGGAGCTGACAACTTCCTTCTTCGCTCTAAAACTACTTTTGATTTACCATCAGACAGCTGACTAACGAGCCTGTTGTTCACTCCTGACTAATCAAAGAAGTGATTAACTTCGTAGATTACTCAATAATTGCCAGAACTCCAGTTCTAGATTCTCCAGGACAAGTGCAATTTCCTGAAGTTTTTTTCAATATGATTCACTAAATGTTTAAACCAATGTGATTTCATTTTTATAATGTGGTAAGTCATCAAATAAATTCACAACTCAGAATGACATACTCAGCCCACCGTGTGCCACATAATCGGTTGGGGAATTTGGTTACGGGGAGTGAGGGAAATGCACCCTCTTTGGGGGTGGCTGAGGCATGGGGAGCAGCGTGGGCAGCAGCGGCCTCAGGGGCCAACAGCGCCCACTCAGGAATGTCCCCAGGTGAGCCTGTGTCCCCATATCCGAGGGCCAGGCTGCCTCCCCTGGATGGATGCTAAGAGGCGGGAACCTGCTCGTCCTTGT